CCGTGCCCGGTGTGAAGACCGGTCTCCTAAAAGCTGTGGCTTGGAGTGTTGCCAACCGATAACTTTATGGCGACCATAAAAGCAGGAGAGAGCAATGTTCTAGAGTGAATCATGCATACATTGTTTTCTGCCGATCGAACTAACGAGGCCTGGTCTCCCAGAGACCTTCGGTTTGCCAACTCCAATCCTCCATCAAAAAGCATCTCATTCTGATGCTCCCGCTCGTAGACCTGGGGGGTGTAGAACTTGCGCCCTCCATTCAATTCTGGATTACAACCAGCTCTTTGTGTCTGGTGGTGACTAGGCTGACTGAGAATGCGTCGCCGTTTGCCCAGCCAGAGAATATAAAAATTTTGGCAGGCTCCATAGAAACGGGACACGATGAGATAGGCGTCCAAGAAGAGTAGAAAGATGCGCAGATAGGCGGCATTTATCCAGTCATGCAAATAAAACGTTTCATGTCCTGCCCTGCTTGATCTAAAATATCCAAAATAGGGAAGCCATTTACTTCACAGTTTTTTGCAAAATGGCACTGTAAAGCTGGTAATAAACCAACGAAAGTGTCTTGTATAGAACTTATTAAATTATAGTATTGATTTTTTTTGCTTTGAGCTTTAAGGTCTGCGTTTCAACTTAACAGTTTTCCTAAAAATATAATTTCAAGAAGAAAAAGAAATGATTTGCAGAAAAAGATTAAACAAAGAATTTTTCTATAAGATACACTTGAATCTAGAGCGGCATTGATAACAAATTCAAAAAGTTCATACAACTGAAGTATTCATTAGACGAAATGGAGATTTTGCAGGCAGTCTGGCATCCCGTTGTAGTATATTTGACGGTAACAGGCGTGCCTGTTAATGCCTTATCTTGGGATCATGCTGCGCAATGATTTATATAACAATCTTACCTAAGTAATATTTTCGAATCAAGTAAACATTTCAGAAGTTCAGTGAACATTTCATAAGATAATACACGCACTAAACACCCCCATAAATGGCAGAAATTTCGGACCCGCGACGGCTCCGTACAGGCTGACGATCTGACACCTTTTTCGGTCTCACGCATCTGTAACTCAACCTATTATGTTGGAAGAACAACAGGTTCGATGACGGATGATTCTTATTACTCCTCGAGCAACTCGAGCGAGATTAAATAATGTTGGACTATAGTTAATTGCATAATGTCAAGCGCTTCTTGGGATTACAGAAACAACAGCATATTTAGCGAGAGATTGGCCTTCTTTATCCACAATTGGCAAACATAATATAAGCTAATTTTAAGCTCTTTAATTGTTTTCTGAAACCTGCCCATAAGCATTATGATTTAAAATAAAGTTGACGGAGTGTTTTACCATATATATAGTTTGCACTTTATTAATTCCCCATAGAGTCACAGACATGAAATTTTCCAGAGTAATTTACTAACCCGTTTTTGAAATGACCCCCCCTTTTCTGGAAAATTATGGCTACGATTAGCCGTATTTCTAAATATGGACTTATTAAATTCCCTTCGTTGCCCATAAAAACTGCGCAATCATGCAATAATGTTACTGACTAGCTTTAGTGTTAAAATCATATATGCTTTTCGGAGGTCATACATATTTAACCAACTCACAAAATCAAGAACCTGAGTATGACCATCTATTGCCGAGATATATTGCGTACTTGTAAAAAGTATACATCGCAGCCCCACCAAATGGGGACGCTGAAGCGTAATCTCTTAAAAAACCGGCAATATCATTTACTAATGATTAAAAAAATAAGATTCATAAAGGCTACCAATTTAATTCAATTTGCACTTTTACTTTGAACAACAAGGGATCTTTGGTGAGCAGCCTATGTGCCATGAATTTGTCCTACTTTAAAATGGCTCAACAATGACCTTAAAATCAATATTGTGGAGCTGCTGTTGGAAAAACTTAAGCACAAATGAAACGGAATTTCCGCTAAAAATACTGTGGACAGGAGTCATTATACTTTTGCTCGTATTCCAATAGAAATACCCCTGAGATACGGGCAAAAGACCTTTACATGTTGCCTTTTGATGCAGTTCAATAAGAAACAATTTCATATTATATGTGGCAGAAAATAGCTTACCGTCCCTTAGGATTAACTACCTCTTTGAAGCGCAGTAGGCAGAGTTATGGAAAGCCTGTACAAATGGCCCCGATAAATTTTTAACATTTTATCAGGCAGCTGTGCTTTCCAACTTTGAGAAGGCATTTTTCGAAGAGGCAAGGACGCGTAAAGCATATTATTTGGTCAAGAAAATAACTTATTATGAAAGTTGTAAAACAGCTGCAACACTTCTCACAGTGCCTAGGGCAAATTTCCGTGCAATGCTAAAAACACTGAACCTATTCTAACGCATAGTGTCACGATCTGCAGCAAAGATGGAAAGTTAAGTCCCACACCGACTCATATTTTAAAAGACTGATGGTTGCATGATAAAACAAGAATAATATAATGAAAAAACTAAACTAAAACTACAACCGCCCGCATTTTACGTCAAATTCAAAACTAAAAGACCACAAAGAACGCGCGGGCAGTGGGTCTTCTGTAAAAACGCATGCTATACAGAATTTGGTACAGATGTTATAAAATGGCAAACTCTGCTCAAAGGTGAGTACTAGAAAACAGACAACAGACCTACTCAGGCGACATCCTAGTACACAGTATTACCAGCAAAGGTTAGTGAAACTAGAGTGGCCTTTTCTGGTTTATTAGCAGTGTCAGCCAGCCATACCCAACTCCAAGTGGTGCACCACCCAAGGATCGAACTGGCGACATTTTTCATAAGAGTATATCGCTCTAACCGTTGAACCATGAGCTCGTTGTCTTGCCGGTTTAGGTCAGGAGATATTGACTTTCGTTGATGAATGTTCACCTAAGACATCTTAATCAGGACACCCTAGCTGTGCCATTTTACTAGAGTGGACGTTAACGAGAATATTTACCAAAGAAAACAGCTATACAAGCATGGGAGAATTATGGAACACGGGATGAACTTAGGCTCCAATAATTAAGCACTGCATAGAATAAATAAGGAACTAGTGGAGCAGCAAACTGCAACGATGGGGAACATGAAAGTAAGAAAGAGCAATGGACGCAAGTGGCAGATATTTACTTTGATGAATGTAGAGATGGCAGTTCATATCTTGCTCCGGTTCCCAAAAACGCTGGTCGCCTGAGAACATCCAGGTCATCTGCCGTAAATGCTTGACTGTATGCGTAGAACAAGAAGGGATCCGGTAGGTTTGTCTTAATGGCCAATTGAAGGCTTGTTCGAAACTGACTCACAAATTCCTGCAAAGGCTGCACTGCGGGAATATTCTGACGGCATCTTCAATTAGAGAACAATTAGTTAGGTTCAATTAGAGAAAGAAAATCTAACCACTGGCAAACAATTCTTAAAAGCTGAAAAATGCAGCTGAGAAATTCACTTTCTGAGAAGAAAATCACATTTTGCGAATTCAAATGGATTTTGAAAATTGCAACATGATGCAGATATCAGGATCTTCACAGGAGTGAATAATAAAATATAAGGAATGGCAACTGGGAGCATAAAGCAAACGTTTATTAACAATGACGCACTTTTGCAAGGGTATCCGAATGCCTTAGTGCAAATCAATTTGAAGTGACAAATAAGTTTGAGAAAGATGAAAATTTAATGGAAGCCTCTAGCTTCTTATAAATATGAACATTCAGTAGTGTATTTCAGCATACTTTATCTTCCAGTTACAGAAAAATAGTTCATCAAGTTCATTTCCTTCTATCGGCAGGGGTTTTT